GTGAACCAAACATTTGCACTCACATTAAACAAAACACAGCATGCTCCACAAAAAGTGTTTCAAAATTCACTTTATCCAGCGTGTGCAATAATCCAAAGTGCTTCCTGTCACCAATAAGTGTACCATGCACTCACCTTCTTCCTTGACCTATATGAAAAATAGGTCATAAATGCGTTAAACCTTTGGTCAATCTCTGCTCATCCACTGCTATCCCTTAGTAGCTACTTCCTTTATACTGGCCCTTTAAGAGACCGGACTGCAAATTCCCACCAGGATGGTATATGCTAAAGGGAAAGAAGGACAATTTATAGTGCAACCCCAAAAATTTGCTTTATTAAGCTAATAAATACACTCACAACAGTATTATAAATAAAGGCATGAAACTTCAAAGTCCAAAGATGGTTCCTCTCACCGCACTTTCTGGTTTGTGCAATATCAAAAGTGACGTCACTAGGCTCTGCCCAAAGCGTTGCGTCACTGGTCATGTGACTTCCACACAAACCGCAAAGTGTGGTGAGAAGAACCATCTTTGAACTTTGGATTATTGCACACGCTGGATAAAGTGAATTTTGAAACACTTTTTGTGGAGCACGCTGTGTTTTGTTTAATGTGAGTGCATACGTTTGGTTCGCTTAGAATGTAGCCTATTTAAAAGGTGTTGCACTATGAAATATATTTTGTTTTTTAACGCAAAAATTGGCCTGGTCAGGAAGGGGGGTAAATCCTCAGGAGGGCAAGTGGTTAAACAGTGTTACACTACAAAATATATTTTGTTTTTTATGCACGTTTTGGAGCCATGACTGAGTGAAGACATATTTGGAGGGAGCAAACACGGATTTATCGCTACATGAAGTGTGTATTCCAACAAAATGCATTTGACCTATTATAATTTGTAGGTCGAACCTTAAGGTGAGCAGAGAGTGTGTCTTGAATACAAGCTTGGTTTTGCAAAGTGGTTGAAAATACATTTATTTGGACATTTTGAACTCAGGATCCAGACTATTATATTTTTTTCACAGTTGATTTATTGTGGATTGATGTTTATTGTGTATTTGAGCTTTATTTAATTTATTTTATTTTTTTGATGATGAGGAGTTAGCTCACTACATTTTTTGTTAAATTAAGAATTTTAAAAATCCCATTCTGTCAATAGCAGTGATATTTTTAAAATTCTTAATTAAAAATGATCAGCTCCTTTAAATGACATGCCTGCGGGTTGCCCTAATCCTTCCTGTAAGGGGGCACATCTCTGTAATTTACAAAAAGTGCTGCAGCAGCACTGACATTTAGGGCCAGTTCACACAATAGAAACTCAGTCCAGATGTCTTCCAGATGCATTTCCACATGCGTGTTTTTGGCATGTTCTGGTGCGTTTTTGATGAGCTCCAGTTAATTTTTTTCCATTCTGTTGTTCTTCAATTTAAATAGGAAAATGTGCGGTTCCAATGCATTTTTTATGCATTTTACCGCGTCCCAGTACAGTTCTGTGCAGCAAAAATGCATCCTGTTCTACAACCGGAACACACTGGAACTGCAAGCACTGATGTGAACTATGACGTGGACAAGCAAATAAACTACTTTCTAAAAAAGCACAATGAAACGCATGTAGTGTGAACAGGCCCTTACAAAGACAAAACAAGTGCTAACAAATGGCATTTCACTGACGTCTTTCCTTTAAAATAAAAATACATAGTCCCCTCCATGAGTCTGATATGTATTTTGGGGATCATTGGAGGGATTTGTGTGCTTGTGTTTTTTAAGATGCTAGCAAAGAAATGTCATTTACTGATAATTTCATTTTTTTCTTTGTAAATGTCACTTTTGCTGTAGCACATCCTACAGTACCCCTACTCATTCACAAAAAATGTAAACACCCAAACATCTGCCAAAAAATTTAAATCCACAAAAATGTCCCTCCTAAATTCATCACCAAGCACTGCTGATTTTCCAGAGAAAAAAAAACCTGACAACCTGGCACACAAAACTGGTCCCAATGGCACCATTAGCCAAATAACAGCTCCCTGAGCTGTCATCACTTGTATAAAGTAAGGGGCGGGGCCATATTTCTACAGCGATGTCACTGCTACCCCCACCCCTTTGCTTACAGCGGAGATTCCCAATGATGTCAGCAGTTCATAAGAACTCTGAAGAAGGGAGTGAGTCTCCCGAAACACGCCAAAAACCACATCAAGGGTCTCCCGCTGTCTGGGACCGTTACCACTGGCTCTTTGTCTCTGTTTTTATATCTCCTTTGGTTTGTGAGTATGCACTTTTATGCATTTTAATAAATTTTTTTACCACGGTAATGCACAAAGAGAGTGCGCCCTTCCTTTGCTTTTCTTCACCAGTACCAAGGTTTCCCGATCTTTCAATGGCTTCACCTCAGAGAATAACAGATACAGTACCCCCAGTCAGCAAGAAGATTTGAGCGCTGATTTTGTTTTTCTTGACAGTTCTTTACCCACCCCTTTGCTTACATAGTGGAGATTCGCAATGATGTCAGCAGTTCATAGGAACTAGTGACAGCTGTCATATACAGAAACAGTACAAATACTGATTCTATAAAGTATATGATGCTTGGCTCTTGCCAAACAGAAGAACAATATTGTAGTTAGTCCTCAGTGCTCAGATGTCCAAAAAGTCAATTGAATTGAAAAAAAGTTCCTCGGCTGCTGTAAAAATACACCCCCAGGCGAATGATAACATACAAATATGACCAGCTGACCCCTGAATCCACAAGCAAGCTTCACCAAAATGCAAGACTCTTGTAGTAATTTTAGACTCTCACTGGACTACATGAGATTTATTTGACCCTTACTTATTCTGGGTCATATAGTCTGGTGAGATCTAAAATTACTACAAGAGTTTTGCATGTTGGTGAACAACAGAAGCTTGCTAGTGGAATATACAAACAGGGCAGATGGGCAAAAGTTTGAGCATTCATTCGAACGCCTGAACAACAAAAGTTCAGTTGGAACCTTGTACTGATGTTTATAAGCAGTGTAGTCAGCAAGATGTAAATTTCATAAGATGTAAATCCTCATATTGACCACTAGCCTACCGGGCACTTTTACCCCCTTCTTGCCCAGGCCAAGTTTCAGCATTCAGCGTTGTCACACTTTGAATGACAATTGCGCTGACATGCAACGCTGTACCCTTATGAATTTTTTTCACACAACTAGAGCTTTCTTTTGGTGGTATTTAATCGCTACTGGGGTTTTTATTTTTTGCACTATAAACAAAGAAAGCAAAACATTTGAAAAAAAAACATTTTCTTTGTCTTTATTATAAAACTTTGCAAACAGGTAATTTTTCTTCATCACTAGTAAATGAACAGTGCAGCGCTCTAAAAGACTACAACTCAATTGTAATAATAACGACAAAAATAACAATAGTGATATAAAATAAAAATAAAAATTAGTGCCAACCCTTATTGGAAATAAAAAATTAAGTGCCAAACCATGACCATAAAAATAGTGTGCACACGATTAAGTGTGATAAAAACCACTCCAAACTTCATCCAATAGGAAAAACTTTAGCAGTGCTCACACAGTGCCACAAAAATAAATCAACACAATATATGCATCAACCTGGGTTACCCAGATGAAGTCACGAGTAGACGGTGACGCAACGCGTAGGTACGCGAGTCCGTAGTTCCGGTGCGTGGTGACGCATTTCCGGCGCGAGACGCCATCTTGCTATACCCAAGAGGTCCCATTCACATGCAGTACACCCACACATCAGTGAGGAGGGAAGATTGTCTGCAATGTGAGTGTTAAACCTTTTTTACTCTTTTTGTAATAAATGAAGTTGACTCAATACTGCACTTAGAGAGTTTTTTTTGGCTCACTGGATTGGTGAGCCATTATTCTTCAGGACCGCCCTGAGTGAATAGGGGCATTTGGAACCCTGTAAAGGAGATCCAGGGAAGGAAGGAAGCTGCTGGCCATTTACAAACTAAGGATCCTGGGTGATCCTGCAACCCTGTTGGCCCTTTGGGGTCAGTAGGAGGAGGTGAGGAGGCAATCTAGCCATTAACGAAAGAGGAGTTTTTTTTCATCCAATATCACTGCTGCACATCGCATGATTTGCCTTATCTTTCACTTGAAGGACATTATTTTTAATGTATATACTTATGTTGATTCATTTTTGGTGATATATATGTTGATTTATGTTTATCCTATATCACTGCTGCACAGTGCATGATTTGCCTTATATTTCACTTAAAGGATATTGCTCTTGATGCATATATTGTGTTGATTTATTTTTGTGGCACTGTGTGAGCACTGCTAAAGTTTTTCCTATTGGATGAAGTTTGGAGTGGTTTTTATCACACTTAATCGTGTGCACACTATTTTTATGGTCATGGTTTGGCACTTAATTTTTTATTTCCAATAAGGGTTGGCAGTAATTTTTATTTTTATTTTATATCACTATTGTTATTTTTGTCGTTATTATTACAATTGAGTTGTAGTCTTTTAGAGCGCTGCACTGTTCATTTACTATTTATTGACACTGTTATTTGGTATCATTTTTTGAGTGCTGGCAGCTAAAGGAAAAGGTTTAGTAGTTCCATTTTCAAAGCGCAGGAGGATTTTTTTGATTATTTTCTTCATCACTGACGTGTGTTGATGAGGCTGCACATTCATGGGCACTGATAGGCAGCACTGATGAGGTGGCACGGATAGGCAGCACTGTTGGGCACTGATAGACTGCACTGATGAGGTGGCACTGATGAGGCATCACTGGTGGGCATTGATGAGGAGGCACTAATGATGCTGCACTGATATGCAGCAATGATGTGCACTTATAGGTGGCACTGATGGGCATTGATAGGCGGTACTGATGGGCAGCATTGACTGGCTGCACTGACTGGCCACACTGATGGGCTGCACTGCTGGGCACTGATTTGCGGCACTGATGGGCGCAACTGCTGGGCAGCACTAATGGGAGGCACTGCTGGACGGCACTGCTGGGCACTGATGGGTGGCACTGATGGGCACTGGTGGGCACTGATGATCAGGGACACAGTGATCACTGATAGCGCCGGGTGTGCACCGCTGGGGGGGGGGGCATGTTCTGGGAGGACATCATATGACTCCCTCCCAGAACTGAACAACCGCACTGTAGCCGAAAGATGGTTGTAAAGTGGTTAAATTGCTCTTTTAGACTACATTATAAATGTCAAATAGCAAAGCTGAAGCATGCCTGTTAAGACAATAGGGTTTGATTTACTAATGGGCTGTTGACTTTGCATACGAGTTTTCACTTTAAAAGAGACATTTCTCTCTAGCTCAGTGTCTCGCAAGCTAAAAACAGTATTTTTTGCTTGCACATGATTGAATGATGGAAGCCAGCAGAGCTTCACCTCATTCAATAAGCTAGAGAAAAATTCCCTTACAACATGAAAATTCTCTTACACAGTGAATAGTCTGTTTGCCTTTAGTAAATAAACTCCTATGTATTTATACCAATCACTTTTTGATGATTTTTATATTAAATTAGATGGAGATTTTAGCAGCGATCACTAGACTATAATGTTAAGGGCTGCAACATTTGGCATGAGATTCCAGTAAATTGGTCTTCCAAAGCACAAATGATATGCTGGCTCCTTCCCTGCTGCTCAGGATGTCCTCTTTTAGAGATGTTGGTACAGTGGAGATCCTATTCTCCAGCACTTGCCTATAGGTAGGCACCTTCCACACTCCATGAGATGCACACAGCAAAACCACCATCCATCTCCTGGAAAGGATTTACCCACCAGTCTGGGACTTGTTGAGGATATGTGAGAGCCTACTGCAATGACTTCAAATACTTGCTGAAAAATCCTAAGTGCCTTCAGAGAAATGATTAATTAACTACTGACAATGAGGGCATTTTATGGGACAAAATTTTCTCCTCCTGTCATTTTAGGTCCAAAATCATTAAAAAATGCAGATAGCTGCATACAGCAGAGCACTTTAAAGAGAGACCGGAAGAAATCTGCATATGGTTTACATCTTTAAGACTTGTTCTTCACGTGGACTTTTTTCGTGGTCATTGTCACTTTTATGTTATTGTAGATCTATTGGGATTGTTTGATCTTGGGGATTGTATTTGCATACCTTAGACACCAGTTGTCTATATTATTTGTGTTTTTCTCCCACTTATGGGATTGATCAGATTGGAGGTCATTATAGTCGGGCACGTTTTTTTTTTTCCAGTAGTTTACTTGTATATGGAGGTCACTTTCTCATGGTTTAGTATCATCATTATTTCACAATTTTTTATTGGAACCATTTAGGACCTTTTTGGTCCCATGGATAGTGGTATTGCACGCTGATTTGTGCATTTAGGTATTAGGGTCACTTACTGTATGTTGATGCCACCATTTGGGCATCTGGGAGCTCACTTTTAGCCTTCCACATTTAGGATGGCTTGAAATTATTCACTATCTATTGTGTTTTCATTCACTACTGACCTTTTTCTCTCGATCAGCACTTTTTCTTATTTGTTCACATTACTATTTTGCACTAGTCCTTAGGCACTATTTGGATGTCACTTTCAGACATCTGGGAGCACACTTACACCTTATGTTTTTAAGGGAGGTTTTTTATTCACGTTTCTATTGTACACTGACCATTTTTTCCTAGTCAGTCCGTGCCTTTTTTTCTTCTTTTTTCTTGTTTCTTTGGTTTTGCAGTACTACATACAGTGGGGATCGAAAGTTTGGGCACCCCAGCTAAAAATTTGTATTAATGTGCATAAAAAGAAGCCAAGGAAAAATGGAAAAATCTCCAAAAGGCATCAAATTACAGATTAGACATTCTTATAATATGTCAACAAAAGTTAGATTTTATTTCCATCATTTACACTTTCAAAATAATAGAAAACAAAAAAATTGCGTCTGCAAAAGTTTGGGCACCCTGCAGAGTTAATATCTTGTACTGCCCCCTTTGGCAAGTATCACAGCTTGTAAACGCTTTTTGTAGCCAGCCAAGAGTCTTTCAATTCTTGTTTGAGGTATCATTGCCCATTCTTCCTTACAAAAGTCTTCCAGTTCTTTGAGATTTCTGGGCTGTCTGTCACGCACTGCTCTTTTAAGGTCTATCCATAGATTTTCAATTATGTTGAGGTCAGGAGATTGTGAAGGCCATGGCAAAACCTTCAGTTTACGCCTCTTGATGTAATCCCCCGTGGATTTCGAGGTGTGTTTAGGATCACTATCCATTTGTAGAAGCCATCCTCTCTTTAACTTCAGCTTTTTCACAGATGGCATCAAGTTACCATCCAAAATTTGCTGAAATTTTATTGAATCCATTTTTTCTTCTACTCATGAGATGTTCCCTGTGCCACTGGCTGCAAAACAACCTCAAAGCATGATTGATCCAACCCCATGCTTAACAGTTGGACAGAGGTTCTTTTCATTAAATTCCGTGCCCCTTCTTCTCCAAACGTACCTTTGCTCATTCCGGACAAAAAGTTCAATTTTAACCTCATCGGTCCACAGAACTTGTTTCCAAAATGCATCAGGCTTGTCTATATGTTCATTTGCAAAGTTCAAACAATGATTTTTGTGGTTAGAAGAGGCTTTCTTCTGATGACTCTTCCATTAAGACCATATTTGTACAAGTATCTCTTTATAGTGGAATAGTGTACCACAACTCCACAGATCTTTCTGGAGGGATCGTGCAGTCAAACGTGGGTTTTGAATTGTTTTTCTCACAATCCTGCGAGCTGTTCTGTCTGATGTTTTTCTTGGTCTTCCAGATCTTGCTTTAACTTCCACTGTTCCTGATGACTGCCATTTCTTAATTTACATTCCGAACAGAGGATATTGACATCTGAAAACGCTTTGCTATCTTCTTATAGCCTTCTCCAGCTTTGTGAGCGTCAATTAGTTTCAGTTTCAGTTTTCTAGATAACTGCTTAGAAGAACCCATGGTGCCGATTGTTGGGGCAAGGTCAGATGAGTCTGGGCATTTAAAACCTTTGAGATTGACATCACCTGGTCTTTGGAACAATCCATGACACTGGCAGGTCTTTTTTGCAAAGGGGGCAGTGCATGCTATAAATTCTGCAGGGTGCCCAAACTTTTGCAGACGCCATTTTTTTGTTTTCTTTTATTTTGAAAGTGTAAATGAAATAAAATCTAACTTTTGTTGACATATTATAAGAATGTCTAATCTGTAATTTGATGCCTTTTGGAGATTTTTCCATCTTTCCTTGGCTTCTTTATGCACATTAATACAAATTTTTTAGCTGGGGTGCCCAAACTTTCGATCCCCATGTATGTGTGGTTCTATATTTTAACTTGTTTTAAACATTACTGGGTTACACTGTTCATTATGATTCATATATGTGGATGAAGTCATAGAATTCTTTAGGATAGCGCTACACCATTTTGTTTTGAAATCAAGAACATGGTCTCTTATACCAGCCACCTGTAGAGCAGCAGGAAGACTTTTGGATGGGCCCAACATGGTTGCCGCGGCAGACAGCATTAGGGATGGTACTTGAAACACAGCAACAGTCACAATTCCAGCAGTACAGCACAACTCTTTCTCACTTGGCTCCATACACTGTAGACAGCAATTTCCTGGCTCCTTGGCTGACGATTGCCAGGTGCAACAGCCATGCAGGTTAATAATCCTGAAATTACGAGCCCCCTCATCTAGCACTACTCCCTCAGTCGCTGAGTTTTAGGTCCCCCTAAAGCTCTGCGCAGCCAGGCAACGTGCATTTTCTTCCACACTTTGCACCCAGAGTCAGTAAACAGCTTTGAGCTTGGCTTTTTATTCTATTAAGGGGTTTATAACTTGGATGGGGTTGGGGGGTGTATGGGATGCCCAAGGAAAGTGCAAACTTGAGGACAAAATCCTTAGCAACTGTGTACAAATGTGGAGAAAGATAGTCTCTCCTTTAACAGTATTCCAGTTTTCTGGTGTACCTCATCCAGACTGACTCATCCCAAGCTGCTACTCAGCCTCTGCTTAAAAAAAATATAACAACAAACTGCTATCGGGCTATCTGGATAACTTGGAGGGCATTACATCCACACCCCGCAAAAAACAGCCATGTCCTCATTGGCTGGAAACTGAAAAAAAAAGGTTCCTGAGGCCAGGAGCAGGGCATCCCATACAGAAAAAGGGAGGGGAAAAAGAACAAACTTGGAGGGGGATATGTACAAATAAATAAGTAGAAAAATATAATATGTACACTTTACATATTTACAGCAGCAACATATTCATATGTACAACCTGGTGTTCTAGTATTTAAACCACCTTACTGCTCCACGCAACAAAACCTTGTGACCTGCAGCAACTAAGAGGATAGATTCACTGTATACTGCATGTGCATATTAAAAACTGATAAATCCAATAGAAAGAGTGAGATTATATTTCAATCATTGTAGCAAGTAGACTAAATTTAGGATTCAAAGCAGAGAGGTTTCCACTGAAATACTTTGAAAGATAAGTAAATAAGATTCAATTAGGTTAATTGGATCCTGTCTAAATTGGCCCTAGTATGTGTATGTATGAATGTGAATTATGGACCTTAGATTGTACGCCCCTTGAGGGTTAGGAACTGATGTGAATGTACGATATATATAAATATATGTGAAGCGCTGTTTAAATTGATGGCGCTATATAAGTACCTGAAATAAATAAATAAAATAAAATTAGATCTAAGAAACCCCAAGTATTAGTGATTTAGCATTACATACTATGGCATTTTACTAAATAATCATTTGTCACTCACATGACTGTATTCAAATTTGCTTTTGAAAAGCTTTGTTTTATTTTCAGGTTTATAGCAATTAAATGTAACAACTCTGCTAGACACTATTTAAAGTGCTTGTACAGGAACATATTTTTCTAAAAAAAAAAATAAACATGTTATAGATGTTTGCTCAGTGTACTGGTTTTGCACAAGGCAGCCCGAATCCTCCCCTTCTTGTGTCTACCATCAGCACTCCTGGCTCCTCCTCACCTTCGCCACTTGCTATGGGGGCACTCATGTGGGCTCACTCCTGAGCTGGCTCTGTGTGTCCATAGACACACAGAGCATGGCTCGGTCC